TTCAGAAACTCCTGTTTCAGAGATGAAGCTGAAGATTCCACACTGCTGGTTAAAGAAGTAGCCAGGATCCAAACCCAGACCTGCTGGGCTTTCTGCTGTATCAGGTTGCCTCGTTACCAAGGAGTGTGTTTTCACCACCCACACAAACAGGAGGGCAGCTTTACCATGAGGCCTCCTGGTGGCTTTCAGTCTGGGGCAGCAGCAGGGCGTCTAAAGCTCCCTGAACAGGGGTGAACAGGCACAGCCACTGGAGTGGAAACCCAAGTGCTAACGTCCAGGCTGCAGGCTGCCCACAAGCGGAATTCACACCGCAGAGCGTGTAGTCTGTGAGTGAAAGGGAAAGAGCAGGTAGTGCTAAATACAAGGAAGGGGTTAGAGAGGGGCAAACAGTGAGGAGATTATAACCGTGGAAGCAAGGGACGGACATCTAAAGCGAGATGCACAGCTCCTCCTGATGGTGGGGACATGCAATTCAAATGGAAGTGTTTAAAGATATAATTGTAGAAAACTTAGGTTCCTGGTGTGCTGCAGTCCATGGGGTCGCAAAGAGTCGGACACGACTGAGTGACTGAACTGGACTGAACTAGGCTCTGAAACAAAAACCTTGTGCAGTGTAGTCTGGAAGGAAAACGTTTACCACGTTCTTGACCTAATGAAAGCAAAGACGCCCCTTGGAGACACGTCTGAGCATCCCCCGTACATCCCTGTGTCCTCTGCGTGCTCCAGGTGCAGGAGTCCCGGGTACACGTGTGTGAGGCCGTGACCTGCATTAGGATGCGTGTGCATGAAGGAGGCTGCCTCTGCAGAGGCTGTGATTGCAAAAAAAAAATAGACAAAAATTATTTTTAATCTAAAAAGAGACCTGGTGCCCCAGCAGCTTCGAGCCTACACTGACAGGATGCTTAATTCCAAAGCGTTAGCTCAGAAGGGCAGTTTGGGGTACAAATGCTCCTGAGTGGCCTGACCGTGCCCTGGTCTCACTCTCTGCTTTCTTTGGATCCTTTTGTGTCCCTGTGTTTTCCTCTTCTTGGTGTGAGGTTGGAGCCTGTTGACACTTCTGCGTGTCGCTTGGCCTCCTGGCGATGCTGACGGGCAGAGAGACGCTCTGGTGCAGCGTCCTCAGCCTGCTGGAAGTTCGGTCGGGGTGCAGAGGCTGGCGGGGGGAGGGGCAGGGGGAGCTGCAGCGGAGGGTCTGGGGTAGGAGGAGACCCAGGATCTCCCAGGGGGAGGGATGAGTGATGCGTCAGGGAGCGGTGTTTGGCACGGTCCCTCCGAGGTGGGTGGTTGCAGCGCCTGGGGAGGCCCCCAGACCAGGCAGCCTTGGCAGGCAGGTGCAGGCGCTGGCTGGACCGAGGCCACGGGAGGGTGAGACCAGGCTGGAGTGGACATCCTGGCCTTCAGCTACAACCGGGCTCAGACACTGGGAGACTGAGTCTAACTGCAGAGCTGGGATGAGAACTCAGGTTTCTGCAACCCCACTGAGTTGTAAACAATTGCTGAATTATGTAAAATATTCCCCCTTAGAATATCAAGTGTTACTTTTGGCCATCATATCATCAAACACCGGACGGTTTCTTGTTCTGAATATCAATAACCAACAGGGTAAGATTATGAAGAACTCAAATCTGCTCCCCCTGCTGATAGCAGGTTCGCTCAGTCAATCATCCTCTATTTCCCAAGTCTTCCTCCAGCAGGATGTCACTCAGTGTAGTGGATTCTGGATAGGACTTCCTTACTTCCTCCAAAATAACTGTCAGCAGAGGATGATGCCAACATCTTATCTGTCCTCATAATTACTAGTGACTATAGGATATTTTTTTATTCGTTTCAGAACTCTGAGATTTCAGAGCTGGGTAAAAATAAATAATGATCTGGTTATCCCTCCTTGTTTTGTTAGAAGTGAAATACTGAGGTTCAGAGAGGTAGAGGGACCTGTCCAAGGTCACACAGCTAATGGTGGGAAGAGATGGGAACAGAAGTTTCTGACCCCCGGCCCTTGTGTATCTCTGCAGTTCTATAATGTCATGACTGCCAAACTACTATTAGACATGAAAGCTGAGAGACACATCTCTTAGACAACTGAGACACAATCTCTTAAGACAACTGAGACACAATCTCTTAGATAACTGAGACACGATCTCTCGGACAACAGAAACCACAGGGAACATTTTAAGAAGCACTTAATAATCTGTTTAAAAACGTTCTCGTTAAAGCTCACACACACCCATGCATACTCACACACATACAGGTACCCCACCCTCTTCTCTGACTATACTTTACACAGTCAAGGTGTGTTTGGCACAACCAACACCCTCACGGACAGACTGCTACAGCCCTATGCTTCCTTTAGGAGGACAGCTGCCACAGGGGTCAGGCCCGGAGTACCAGTCAGGGCCCCCTCTCCCAGGACGATCTCGCCGGGGCTCATCCAGGAGCCGCTGGAGGCTGGGGTGGGGTCGGTGGGGCAGGAGACGCCTGACCCAGTACATCTGCCAGAATCGCCAGGGGAGGTTATCTCCCCCTTGCCCTTCATTAGGAGGCGGGCAGGCTGAACAGTGACCACAGGCACACCGTGCCCCTCAGCATCTGTGACGGTGTAAATGTCTCCATTTGCTTCCTGGGGCTCTCCTGTAATAAATTACCATAAACTCAGTGGTCTAAGAAAAAGGACATTTATTCCGTCATAGTCCTGGAGGCTAGAAGTCTGAAGCTGAGGTGTCCCCAGGGGCCTGGGGAGGAGGGGCTCCAGCCACCCTGCAGGCACCCGTGTCCCCGAGCTTCTCACTCGGGGCTCTGCCTAGGAGTGTCTCTGCTTCCGGAGCCCTCTCTCCTTGTCAGAATGCCAGCTGTCGGCTTTGGGCCCACCCTCATCTGGTCTGACCTCAGCCTCAAAGACCCTGTTTCCAAATAAGGTCAGGTTCAGGTGCAGGGGGGTGTCTCATCCCAGGACACGTGGTGTCCAGGGCGCTCCCCCAAATGCCTGGTCCGTCTGCCAACACCAGTCACGCGCGGGGCTTCTCCTTGGTGTGGTCCTGGCTGGAGCCCTGCCCGCTCCCCCAGAGCCGGGAAACCACTCACATCGGTCCCCTGCCTCCTGCCCTCGTCCAGGGTATTTCTGTGCATGTGAAGCCCCTCTTCCGACACCTTCAAACTCCCCATTCAGCTCACCCCACCTCCAACTCTTGTCGCCTGTGTCTTACACCCTGGCTGCCACACGCCCAGTAAGCGAGGTGGGTGGGGGCGGTCAGCTCAGCCCCCAATGCCACCTGAACTTTACGTGAACAGGAGCCTGGGACCTTCCCGTAAGGCTGCGGGAGTGCCTGGTTTTGAGGTGTCCCTTGATTCTGATGAGCTTCCCAGGTGGCGCTAGTGGCAAAGAACGTGCCTGCTGAGGCCGAAGATGTAAGAGATGCGGGTTCACTCCCTGGGTGGGGAAGGTCCCCTGGAGGAGGGCATGGCAACCCACTCCAGTATTCTCGCCTGGAGAATTCCATGGACAGAGGAGCCTGGCGGGCTACAGCCCATGGGGTCGCAAAGAGTCGGACATGACCGAAGCGATTTCGCTCGCACTTAATTCCTACAAGGTACCAGTTTCTTGGTTTGTTTCACACGTCGTGAGTGTCGTACCCTTCATGTTAGGAGCTGTGGAAGTGCGGGTTCATCTCCCTTTACTGCTGGGGCATGTACAACGTGGAGGAGGGGATTCTCTCCTGGCGTGAAACTCCAGCCTGCATGCAGCGATCTTTAGGGAACCTCAAGGGTCCTTTCACTTGGTCGGGGTCGGCTTGCGGTGGCTTCTCAAGTGTGTCCACAGCCGCGGGGTCTGCTGGCTGCAGGCCTCACTCAAACAGCTCCAGGTAGTCGGGCGGCTCTTGCTGCTGACCGCAGGGGTAGAGAAGGAGCTCCTTCCCCAGGGAGGTGATGGGCTCCTCCTGGGAGGGAGACAGTAAACAGGTCAGGCTGCAGGCCCCCGAGAGCGGCAGGGGCATCAGCCCAGGCTCCCGAGTCTTACTTACAAGACACTTTCGTAAGCAGCCCTTCCTGCCTTGCTGGAGCACACAGCCTCTGGTCTCCCCTCGCTTTACACTAAGCTTTCTTGGCTCAGGCAACCCCGAAAGAGAGAGTTCTTGTCCACAAGCTGCCCTGTGGCCTCCCTCCTTCCCGGGCTTGTGCTCTCATTTGAGGGTGTTCTCATATGGAAATAGTCCTGGAGGCTAGAAGTCTGAAGCTGAGGTGTCCCCAGGGGCCTGGGGAGGAGGGGCTCCAGCCACCCTGCAGGCACCCGTGTCCCCGAGCTTCTCACTCGGGGCTCTGCCTAGGAGTGTCTCTGCTTCCGGAGCCCTCTCTCCTTGTCAGAATGCCAGCTGTCGGCTTTGGGCCCACCCTCATCTGGTCTGACCTCAGCCTCAAAGACCCTGTCTCCAAATAAGGTCAGGTTCAGGTGCAGGGGGGTGTCTCAGGACACGTGGTGTCCAGGGCGCTCCCCCAAATGCCTGGTCCATCTGCCAACACCAGTCACGCGCGGGGCTTCTCCTTCTCGGTGTGGTCCTGGCTGGAGCCCTGCCCGCTCCCCCAGAGCCGGGAAACCACTCACATCGGTCCCCTGCCTCCTGCCCTCGTCCAGGGTATTTCTGTGCATGTGAAGCCCCTCTTCCGACACCTTCAAACTCCCCATTCAGCTCACCCCACCTCCAATGCTTGTCCCCTGTGTCTTACACCCTGGCTGCCACACACCCAGTAAGCGAGGTGGGTGGGGGCGGTCGGCTCAGCCCCGGATGCCACCTGAACTTTACGTGAACAGGAGCCTGGGACCTTCCCGTAAGGCTGCGGGAGAGCCCGGTTTTGAGGTGTCCCTTGATTCCGATGAGCTTCCCAGGTGGCGCTAGTGGCAAAGAACGTGCCTGCTGAGGCCGAAGATGTAAGAGATGCAGGTTCGCTCCCTGGGTGGGGAAGGTCCCCTGGAGGAGGGCATGGCAACCCACTCCAGTATTCTCGCCTGGAGAATCCCATGGACAGAGGAGCCTGGCGGGCTACAGCCCATGGGGTCGCAAAGAGTCGGACATGACCGAAGCGATTTCGCTCGCACTTAATTCCTACAAGGTACCAGTTTCTTGGTTTGTTTCACACGTCGTGAGTGTCGTAGCCTTCATGTTAGGAGCTGTGGAAGTGCGGGTTCATCTCCCTTTACTGCTGGGGCATGTACAACATGGAGGAGGGGATTCTCTCCTGGCGTGAAACTCCAGCCTGCATGCAGCGATCTTTAGGGAACCTCAAGGGTCCTTTCACTTGGTCGGGGTCGGCTTGCGGTGGCTTCTCACGTGTGTCCACAGCCGCGGGGTCTGCTGGCTGCAGGCCTGTCACTCAAACAGCTCCAGGTAGTCGGGCAGCTCTTGCTGCTGACCGCAGGGGTAGAGTAGGAGCTCCTTCCCCAGGGAGGTGATGGGCTCCTCCTGGGAGGGAGACAGTAAACAGGTCAGGCTGCAGGCCCCCAAGAGCGGCAGGGGTATCAGCCCAGGCTCCCGAGTCTTACTTACAAGACACTTTCGTAAGCAGCCCTTCCTGCCTTGCCGGAGCACACAGCCTTTGGTCTCCCCTCGCTTTACACTAAGCTTTCTTGGCTCAGGCAACCCCGAAAGAGAGAGTTCTTGTCCACAAGCTGCCCTGTGACCTCCCTCCTTCCCGGGCTTGTGCTCTCACTTGAGGGTGTTCTCATATGAAAAAAAATCTAGTTTTCAAAGAATGTGTCTGTGTGTACATGTATAACGGAATTACTCTGCGGCACACGGCAGTAATTAGCACAAGACTGCAAATCAACTATACTTAAAAAGTGTTCTCAGATGTGATCGGCGTGCACAGATTTTTGCATCATCTCCTGCATTCTCTGCCCCAGTGGGTTCTCCCTGAGTATATGAGGAGGGACCAGGTTCAGTGATAAAGGAAATGCAATTAAAAATCCTTGTTATCGGGAAGGTTTCCCACATGGCTCAGCGGTTAAAAGAATTCGCCTGCTAACGCAGGTGATGCAGGAGATGTGGGTTCGCTCCCTGGGTCGGGAAGATCCCCTGGAAGAGGAAATGTCAACCCACCCTAGTATTGCTGCCTGGGAAACTTCATGGACAGAGGAGCCTGGTAGGCTACAGTCCATGGGGTTGCGAAGAGTCGGACACGACTGAGCTTGAGCACTATTATCGGGAGGAGTTATCAAAGCGGGGGCCTGATCCCCCTGCTCGTCTCAGCTGTTTTCCGTGGAACTGCCTTTCACTGTCAGAGCAGCTGCAGGACACCCGTCACCGAGCGAATGAAACAAGTGCGGGGCCACACCTTGTGGTACTCCACCAGCTCGGCCAGGCTGGCGTGCTGCTGCTGGTCCACGCCCAGGAAGCCATATGAGTCCGAGGAGGCATCTATGAGGAAGTGTCTGCAGCCGTCCTCGGACTGGTAGGACAGGGTGTAGCCCTTGACCTTCTCGTTGACCCGGATCAGAAAGCTGCCCGGCACGCAGGTGCTCAGAAGCTCATTCGCTCTGTTTACCGTGAGGATTCCTGCGGGAAAGAAGGGCAGGGGTTTCAGCCACATCATCTCCAAAGCTCCCCTCTGCTAAACACAGCCGTGTGGATAAAGCCAGTAACAACTCGAGCAACCCCCAGTCCACGTTGGGCTTCCCAGGAGCAGTAGCGTGGTTCATCATCTGGCATTTGGTACCTAGGCCGGGGTGGGTTCCATAAGCAAATGTGTAGTACAAAAGTAGGGCTTCCCAGGATGGTGCTACTGGTAAAGAACCCACCTGCTAATGCAGGAGGCGTAAGAGACCTGGGTTTGATCCTGGGGTGGGGAAGTTTCCCTGGAGGAGGGCATGGCAGCCCACTCCAGTACTCTTGCCTGGAGAATCCCCATGGACATAGGAGCCTGCTGGGCTACAGTCNAACCCGCCTGCTAATGCAGGAGGCGTAAGAGACCTGGGTTTGATCCTGGGGTGGGGAAGTTTCCCTGGAGGAGGGCATGGCAGCCCACTCCAGTACTCTTGCCTGGCGAATCCCCACGGACATAGGAGCCTGCTGGGCTACAGTCTATACGGTCACAAAGAGTTGGGCACCGCTGAAGCAGCTTGGCACGCGTGCAGTACGAACGGAACGTTCGCCCCTCAGAACACGTTTCCACGTGCACATCCAGTGAAAACTGCATGGGCCTCATGTGGCCTCTGAGTGGTAGGACCCTTGATGGTCATCCTGGGAGGGTGAGCTCTCCCAAGTTGACTGCTGGGGACGCTGTGGCCTGGGAATGATCCTACCAGACCTGGAGCAGGAGTTCTCACTGGAAATGTCTCAGACACTGGGGCTGGGGGGTGGAGTGGCTCTAGTCTCCTTCTGTGCATTGAGGCAGGGATGCTGCCAAACCTCCCACTGTGCACAGAACAGCCTGACTACAGACAGTGATCCAGTGCCAAAGGCGGGCACCCTGGCCAGGTGTCAGCGAGTTAGCGACGGTGTCCTCTGCTGTNGTGAGCCCATGACGTGATAAGACAGAGAGGAAGTGCGCAGACAGGTGCTGGCAGAATGGTGGGCTGCTCTGAGCTCTGGCCAGAGAGCAGCGTTTCCCGTGTCAGCAGACGGAACCTCCCGCCTCTTCTGTGCTGACCTCGGTATCACGATTAGGGAAAAACTCAAAGCGCCTCCTGGTGCAAAGGTAATGGATGATCACAGCTCTTTTGTCTGACAAGACTAAAGTTAGTAAAGTTACTTGAGAATTAAACCTAAGGATCCAGAGTGAAACGTCAAATGAAACCACTTGTGTTCTTTTCTGTAAGTAGACCTTTGAAAAGGGAGGATTAGAGATCACCCACTCCCCGGGCCCCGTTCAGCTCCGTCTCCCCCTCAGCGCCAGAACCTGCACGTCTGGATGTGGGGGCTCAACCCCAGGCCGACGCGGGGTGACGGCAGGGCCTGCGGCCAGCCCCTCATGGACAGGAAAAGCGCCTGCGAGGGAAGAAGCCGGCGGCCTCTCCTCTGGCGTCCTGGCTCTTCCAGGACCCTGCCCCGCACGCTGCCGGGTCCAGTCGCCTTCCTGCCCTTTCCTGATGAGACAGGCGCTGGACACAGCAGGCGCTGTGACTCTGGAGGAGCCCCTGGGGTCACTGGTGGGCGTCCACGTCAGGCGCCCAACTAATACCCAGGTGAGCATTCCCACGGCGACTGCTCCTTCCTGCCCATCCTACCCTCTACATACACCCGGTCCCACTGCGGGCATCGGAGGCTGAACCCAGGCCACTGGTGACCAGCCTGCCTGGGGCCTGCAGACTCTGGGTCTGACGCTCTCTGAAACCAGGGGGATTGCTCAGTGTCTTCATCCTGGAAAGATTTCTATCTCCCTCCCTGACGGGCTGACTCCAAAATTCCAAGTGACTTCAACAGACGGTACGGACGTTGTTATTGAAAATATCTGGATTTCAGCACGATGAAGTCCGACTCCTAGAACGAAAGCCATCCTGGAAGATTATACCCGGAATGAGACAAATTCCTCCTCAAGTCAGGTCATAAAGTAGCTGCAAATCAGACCGTCCGCGAGCACCCTGGTCTGTAGCTGTCCTCAGCCTGTACAAACCCTGGCTCTGCCTCGGCCCCAGAGACACCAGCGCGGGGCCCCTCTCCCCTCGGGGGCACCCACGGCAGGTGCAGAAGGGGAGCGCCGCGGGGACCACGCTTCACCGCAGGGTCGGCGTTCCTGACGGGCACGGGCTCTCGATGTGTGCGATGTAGGATTTCTCACGATGCCATGGAGGGCAGCGGGGGCCTCCGAGGGAGGTCTAGCTGAGGTCAGGGCCAAGCGGTGAGCTTGGTCTGCCTGCAAAGGGGGCTCTTGAACGCAAAACCAAAGTCCAGCATCAGACGCTAATCACCGGGGGACTCCTGCCCGGGGCGTGACGCTAAGAAACTGGTTCTAGTACAGACAGTGGTCTTCCTCCAGCCCCGCTGAGGCCGTGACGCCCCCAGACTGCCTCCCTCTGGCCTCGCCAAGGGCTCACCTGGCCCCTCTTCCACCCGGCCAGCGTGGTCCACAGCTCTGGGAAAGGTCTAGCACATACCTCGCTCACAGTCAAGTGAGAAACATCCCTCTCCAGGACAGTTCTAGCAACCACTGCCACCAGGCTGACAGCTGTGACCAGGGGTGCCCTCGTGTTTCTCCGAGGTACCCCCAGGCCTGAGTCACACGCACACCTGTGTGACCTGCTTCCGGCACCTGGAAAAGCCGTGTTTAATAAAAACGAACGAGAGCTCAGGGAAAACAGCACTGCCTAGACGCTCCCCCCCAAGGTGTGCCTTCCCTCATCTAAGCCTCACTGAGGCCTGGAGACGAGCTGCTGTCACGGGCCACCGAGCCCAGAGGGGAAGGCCCGCGTCTCAGAGGTCCTAAGGTGGGCCTGGAGCGCCGGCCGGAACCAAAGGTCGGACCAGAGAAGCCAAGCTCGCACCCGCCCATCCAGACTACCTGCCCCAGGCAGGCACGTCGGGCTCCAGAGGCTCCTGCTCACTGTGTTTCTTCCCCAAACAGCTTTTGAATAAGCAGAACCAGGTCATCTGGGGGGCTTCCCTGGCGGCTCAGACGGTAAAGAATCCGCCTGTAACACAGGAGACCTGGGTTCGATCCCTGGTTTGGGAGGATCCCCTGGAGAAGGAAATGGCAACCCACTCCAGTATTCTTGCCTGGAGAATCCCAAGGACAGAGGATCCTGAAGGCTACAGTCTGTGAGGTTGCAACGAGTCAGACACGAATGAGCGACTAAGCCAGTGAGCAAGCGAGGGCTGTTTTACAGATGCGAAAGCTGAGAAAGAAAGGTAGGCACCCGTGGCTTCAAGACAAGTTAGTGGTGGTTTCAGACTCCTGCACTAGGGCTTGGCTTAGACCAACCCACTGGGCTCATGAAACTTTCCTGGCCTCAGCTGAGGATTTAAAATGAGATTGATTTCACAAAGAGGTGTTCATTTCCCACCTGGGCAGCCTAAAGTAGATGTGTTTTTCAGTGACTCCCGAGTGTGTTCCCTGTATGTGAGGACGATGCACTGTGACCCCTATAACCCCCCTCAGCTCGGAGATCAGCAGTCGAGGACAAAGAAGCCCCAGCCCGCGCCTTTGGGGCTCTCTGATCTCGCGGGGGGGGGTCTGCTGGGGCGGTGGAGCCCCAGGTGCTGGCTCAACCTCTCCCCCTCCTGTCGTCTGTCTCATGTCCTCTGCCCCAGGCGGTGGTGCAGGGAGGTCGTGGCAGCGAGTCGACGTTCCTGATGGAACGCAGCTCTGCTTCAAGGTGACCTCGGAGCCCCGCACTGCCACCTGCCCAGGGACGGGTGGACGAGAGACAAGCCGGTGGCGTTTTCAAGCAGAGCCCTGCAGACTGAGTGTACACGTCACCCCTGGCCAGTCACACTTGGGAGAGAGCTCTCCCTGCCTCGCCCTCTGATCCTTCAGCACGTACAGGACGCAGGTTCAGAGAGGCTCTGGGTCCTGCCCTGGTCCTCTGCATAGAAGGAGACGCACCGCGATGCTGACATCTACCCGGGAGCGCTCAGGCACCTTGGAAGTGCAAGTGTTAGTTGCTCAGTCGTGTCCGGCTCTGCGACCCTATGGACTGCAGCCCGCCAGGCTCCTCTGTCCGTGGGATTCTTCAGGCGAGAACACTGGAGTGGGTTGCCATGCCCGCCTCCAGGGGACCTTCCCGACCCAGGAATCGAACTGGGGTCTCCTGCATTGCAGGCAGATTCTAGGGGGGGGGTCTGCTGGGGCGGTGGAGCCCCAGGTGCTGACTCAACCTCTCCCCCTCCTGTCGTCTGTCTCACGTCCTCTGCCCCAGGCGGTGGTGCAGGGAGGTTGTGGCAGCGAGTTGACGTTCCTGATGGAACGCAGCTCTGCTTCAAGGTGACCTCGGAGCCCCGCACTGCCACCTGCCCAGGGACGGGTGGACGAGAGACAAGCCAGTGGCGTTTTCAAGCAGAGCCCTGCAGACTGAGTGTACACGTCACCCCTGGCCAGTCACACTCGGGAGAGAGCTCTCCCTGCCTCGCCCTCTGATCCTTCAGCACGTACAGGACACAGGTTCGGAGAGGCTCTGGGTCCTGCCCTGGTCCTCTGCATAGAAGGAGACGCACCACGATGCTGACATCTACCCGTGAGCGCTCGGGCACCTTGGAAGTGCAAGTGTCAGTGGCTCAGTCGTGTCCGGCTCTGCGACCCCATGGACTGCAGCCCGCCAGGCTCCTCTGTCCGTGGGATTCTCCAGGCGAGAACACTGGAGTGGGTTGCCATGCCCGCCTCCAGGGGACCTTCCCGACCCAGGAATCGAACTGGGGTCTCCTGCATTGCAGGCAGATTCTTTGCCAGCTGAGCCACCGGGGAAGCCCCTCTCAGGCACCTTAGGGATGAGGGGAAATGGTCAGAGCTCTTAAAATAATTATTCATAATGTCTCCCTAGTAATTGAAAGATTAAAATGACATCATTTGTTCTCACTTCATCACCTTAATGGCCAACACTTACTGTGACTGAGCCATCTCACACGGTTCTAAGTGCGTTGCACGTTATACCTCACCGAGTTTTCCGACCAGCCTGGGAGGCAGGTAATGTACTATCTGCGTCGGACAGATGACAGGCAAGTGCAGGAGTCGTGAGACTTGCTGCGGCCACGCGGCCGGCTGGTGGGGGTGGGGAGGCGGGTGCAGGCGGCGTGGCCCGGGGACGCACCCGTCACCAGCGAGCTGGCTCCCCTCCCGCCCCCCACCAGCGTCAAGGAGCAGCGTCCAGGCTGCTCTGCGACAGCAGAAATCC